CTGCAACCATAAACAATCTTGTTAGGACATAATCACGTGATCATCTGAGCAATCTGCACGCTTATTGATGATTGATTGATTGACAGGTCCTGCTACTGGAGTGGGAGCAAAGGTCAGGTTGCTAGAGGCCAGAAAGCTTTGATTCAACTTAGCGTACAGGACGTTTCCACAGATGGTCGTAGAAGAGAGAGTCGCATACCGTGAGATAGGATAAGTTTAAAAAACACGTTCATTTCAAGTCTATATGATAGCATCACATACTGACTTAACCCCCTCTGAAAAGTTCTTCTCTTTTTGGCCCACATTTTAGCACATGTTTCGACAGCATCCATAAAGTTTAGAGTTGTAATTCCATTTGGTAGGAGGATGTTCATGATATTTAGGTCCATATTCAATTAATTGGTGAAGGTTGCTATTGTCAACATTGGAGAAGTATTTGGTTTGGTAGCAAAACTTTGAGTCTTGGCAGCCACATTAGGTAGAATTGACATCATGATCTGCCAAGTCCACTTTCTGCAACATGTTCCTACAACTGAACAGCCTGGATGAAATTCGTATAGGAAAACAATATTGTTGGTATTTCCTGAAATCTGAAATATTTTGCATATTTTGGGAAATTGATTTTTGCCTCAGATTGTTGCTTATATTTAAAGCATCAATTCCCTTGTTTGCAAATTTCAAATTCAGGATCATGCAGTCTTTGTCTGATTCAAGTGAGTCTGTTTCTTGTTTCGCCAAACGTGTCGATGAAATGTCAAGAACTGTGCTCTCTAGTCGATATTGTAGATCCATCCATCAGCAAACACTGCTTGAGGCATTTAACAAAAATTTAATGACTGAGGGTATAGTTTTATTCTCACTTTGTGCAATCCCAATGATTCCTGCAGATGACAACTCTTCCAATTAAATGGTATCATTTGGCCTTCGTCCCTTCTTGTTTCCACGTCTTTGGGAAGCTGGAAACAGACTCAATACATTGACTTTGGCAGTTCTTCTGTTAGAAAGACTGCCAATGTCTCTCATTTTCTCATTACATCCATATGGCATTGCTGTGCATATCAGTCAAATCCAATGAGTTTCTCTTGACATTCTGTGAGGCAGACTGAATTTAGGGCAAGAAGGATGGTGGTATATACAACATTGATGCCTGATCTATGCTGGCTGACTCGTGTCAGTAGTTTTAGTTGTGTTTCCCCCCCCCAACCTAAATCAATCCACAAAGTGTACCAGGATTTCCCGTATTTAAGCCCACTCGAAATTACGACCATGGGCTTGAAAACGGTATATTTTTCCATTGTTAAACCCATGGGCCTGAATTAAGATTTCAAATCTTATTGTTTAGAGTGACGTCCCTTTGCAAAAGCATGTGGCAAACGTCAGCATTTATACTCAGCAGCAAAAAACATGTTAGTACAAACTAAAAATTAGAATCAATCATTACAGAAATGGACATAATTTGTGTACAATATCTGGACACATCAAGGAATAACTCGCCACAATTTCAAGAAATTACGTGAACATTTGCAGTCCATTCAGACTCTGCAATAACTGCAGCACAGCGTCTATGCATGGAGTGCACCAATCCATTGGTGAAGGCTATAAGGACTAAGGACTGGCCACTGCATAATGTTGACACTGTTCTGCTGTAGGAAGTCCCATGTAGCTCTGGCAGTATGGGCCCAGGCGTTATCATGCTGGAAAATGTTCTGGTGACGTGTGAAATGTAGTATAACGTGGGGTCCGAGAGCTTGGTTGATGTAGCGCGCCGTTGTGATATGATTTGATATGATAGGATATATAGCGCACATATCCACGCAACTAGTACATGCTTAAGGCGCTGGAGTGTTCCCGTGATCAACGGGTGACTTTTTTTTCTTGCATTCTTTTAACCATCTCAACTCCCTGGGGAGTATTCAACTCATGCAGCCTGTTAGGCGCAGCAAGTTATCACACAGCCTCATCATCACAAGGTACCAATTTTGCAGCTGGGTGAACTGGGACACATAGTCACAGTATTTTGTCCAATGATTCTGCACGTTACTTTACACGCAACAAGGTGTCTGCACGTGTTTGTGTGTCCACCATCTGGTCACCTACCGTAGGATGAGTGCACAGGGTTGTGTACTGCACACTAGGGGTTGTGACAACACTGAAAGAGCCTGTAAGTAATGTTAGCTCCAAGCTTTTTACACCCGATCACAAGTGGGGATCGATCCCGGCACCTTTCGCTTACTAGTGCGGCGCCTTAGACAGCTCGTCCACCATGCCGCCTCCCCTTCCTGGACCAAGGTTCTGGAACACCACAAGACCCACTCTCTGGTTCAGGCCTATTTCACCCCATACCATGATGTTTGCACCTCCCCATGAGTCTCTTACCATAACACATTCTGCCATCTGCAGTTGATACGCAGTACCGACTCTCATCTGTGAACAGAACAGTTCTCCATTGCCTGTATCGCCAGTTTTGGTCTTGTAGGGCAAACTGAGGACGTTCACGCTGATGACGAGGGGTGAAGATAGGTCCATGGTAAGGTCTACGGCAATGGAGGTTCCCGCTGTTAAGACGTCGGCATACTGTATCAGTACTGATTGGTTTTCCGCGTGTTCCCACTGTCTGGCGTGCTGTTTCAGAGGCCTACATGAAGTGATTCTGTACATTCTGTCGCACAACATGGTCGGTCTTGTCGTCTTGTGGTCACCCTTGGTCTGTCAGTACGGGGGCGACCATTTGTGCTGTTGGTTCCCCGGAAATGTTGCTGCAGCCTGTAGATGGTTCGAATGTTGACCTGGAAGTGATTGGGAATGGCTTGTGCAGTGTGGCCATCTTTAGGTCTTCCTAGTGCCTGGTTCCTCTAAGCTGTCGTGAGTCACGCCATCCTGCTAACGTTGTAATGTGAATGTTTCAACCAGGTTGGGGGTTTTATTTTATAAGGCTTGTGAACAGCATGTGCAGCATGAAAAACATTGAGAACACCGTACAATCTCCCAGTTCAGGTTGTGTTTTTGAGACCATTTCCTTGGTTCCATTCTGAGTTTGGGAAGGAATGTCTTTGCTCAGGTAAAGTTGGTGATGTTGTCAAAATATACAATCAAAACATTAAATGACTTTACAGTTATCCGTTTCTGCGACAGAAAATTCCAAACTGACATTTCTTTTGCTGCTTTGTATATAACGTTTGTGGTGCAAAGGTTTAATCCAGAATTCAGAGTTTCAGAAAGGTTACTCATGCAGTAATCAATATGTAAGACTACAGCTAAGAAATTTATTGTCAATGAGGAGTATATGTTACGACACGATATGATTTGTTGACAGGGTTTGCTTTTTCAAATTGCAAAATTGCAGATTGGTACCTCTGCCATGCAAGTAGACTTTGTCCAAGCTCCTCTTAATAAAGTTCTACAAAAGAGATCACAAACACCTAAATTTTCAATGGTACCTGTATTTCAAACAAAAGTAAGGTCAGATAATGTGCTCGAAGTCTGTATAATCATGGTCGGTTTGGTTATAATTTGCAATTCACCATGTGCGTCCACATTACTGTCAATCCTATTACTGATTTGACTATAAATATTGATATTAAAATTGCCAACAAATATTGTTTCCATTCAAAAGTTGATGTCATCCCCAAATGATTTATAAACCCATTCCCAATTTTTTTTCAAATTTCACTTACATCCATATCACCTCTAAACCCTGTGGGTTAAATTTGTTTATACATTGAACAGAGATTATTCATGATATAGATGAACCACCACCCTGCCAATCCTGGTTATCCAATCTTTTCTGAAAGGCAGCTGAAAACCAGGTATTTTATCAGTTTCATAGATTAATGTTTCAGTTAAAGGTCACATGCAACGTAAAACACAACTTTGCAGATTCTGATACCTTTCGGTATGGACTTACCGAAACAAAGCGTCAAAAAATGCAAATTCAACTTATAAAGTTGAAAAATAACGCGATGAAAAAACCCTCGCGAAATCGGAGTTCAAACGTTTCACTAATTTTCAAACTGGTTTCAACAGCTGGGCTGCGCTCATAGCACGTGCGCAGTGAAATAGGTTCGCGCAGCTTGGAAGCGGCTTGTCCGGTGTATATTTGGAAGGCTTTGGTGTGAGCTATTTTTCTAATGTTTTGTTGATATCTCACAGGCGCGAGCTTTTTTATGTCATGACAGTAAATTAACTGTTAAGATAATTTCATTTGTCTATTTCACCACACTTTCTTCACGTCACTTTCTCAGTTCGATACTTAAAAGCAATGTCATTATTTAGAGTTGACAGAATATCTAACTGTGACACAGATATGTCGTTGTCACAGACAAAATTCAGTGTCTGTTTTATTGACACCTATGTGTCTGCCTGCCTGTCTGCTGATGACAATATTCAATACACAACTTCGATCACTGACCACATGCAATTTGAACTTAACACCTATCAGGCTATACACCATAAACAAAATGCATTGATTTATGGCCCGAGTTCTGTCTCTGTCACATTATCTAATGACACAGACAGGCAGGTGTGATACTGGTACACATGACATGTTATGATGTCTGTTGATTGCAAATTGTTATACACAAGAAATGAGCATGTATTTACAAAACCCAACATCTCTATATGTACACACACAATGACCCGTGAGGGCATCTGCAAATGAACCAGCCGTTACACTTGAGTGCACACCTACCCGATCTGACTGGGTTCCGTATCCCGGCTGCTTCGTTTCTTGGGAAGTAAACCCAAGTACACAATATTGCACTTTTGATTTGCGATTGTACGCTTATAATTTTGTTTATATGTTTTTTCATAACCAGTAATGTATATTATATGTCATGAATAAGTGATAATTATGTTTTAATTATGTTTGATTTTGTGGTTGCATGTGACCTTTAAACATATAATATGGGTAATAAAAGAGTTCAGATTGGACTATATCTATACTGTGACGTTCAAGTGCACTAAATTTAAAATCTGATATGCATGCTTGCTGTGTATTACAAGTGACAAGTGACACACAATAGCTCACAGATTTATTTATACCTGTTCGTCCAGGAAGTAAACTACAGCTTGTGAGGACTCTGACCCAAAAGAATATTCCTGATACGAAGGTGAGGACTCAAGATTCACAGTGTGTGTGTGTGTAGGGATTGTTTCTGAATTGTGTCAAATGTGTTTCATGTCGCAAAGAGATCTTTAGGTTGTTAGACATGGTGCAATAAGCATTATTTATGGATCAGCGGGTTTGAACATCATGACTTCTAACAGACTTCTCCAAGCTACTGTACTCACACCCAGATGTATTCAACTATAACGCTGCCTCCTATTTGTACTTGCATTTGCTTCCCACCTAAAATATGTTCATCACTTCTTAATACCGGTGTTAGGACTTACGCATAACGTTGCTCCTAACAGTAATGAAGTTGTTCATCCATATATGTTATGCTTACAAAGTTAATACGCTCATGAAAAATACACTGTATCTAATTTTTTTTTATCAATTTAAGCCATTAATGTAAAAATAATATTCAAAGTAATCAGTGTAAAAAAAAAAGCTTCCAATTCTTTAACATAAAATAATAGAATAATCAATCAGTCCTTTGGTATGGAATACATAAAATGAGCCATGACCTCAGAAACAAGCTTTCAAATGTTCTGCAATTACAAATATACTTGCTTTTGAGATACAACAAGTACACATGCCTTGCACCAAAATACAAAATACGGTATGCACCAGACACATTTTCAACAACACTTGCAAAGGCCTATAAGCATAGCAGAGTTGTGCCCCTTTTTCCACCCCGTAGCCTTTTACTGAATATCACTATTTTGACACACTGGTTATTGAGTAACCGAAACCCCAATCAGGTTATACTGTTTCATGAGATCGCCCCTTTGGTCCTTAGACACCTTACTTGGAGCACACTTGTATGAATCCAAAGTTCTAACATACATCGTGTCAAGTCCTAAATTCTGAATGCAGCTGTTGGCTTCATCAAGTGCAATAAGCCTCTGTACTGTCTTTTGTAAACGTATAGCTCAGCTCAGTTTAGCACAACCTTCACTTTTAAGGACCTGTGCATCTGAAAACAAAACTACATGAAGTGGGTTATCTCATAGTGTCTAACAGTGGTGCAAAAGGTGGGTGGTTTAATGTGAATGGCTGTGTTTAATATACATAGACATACACTCAGACAAACACACATACATGTGCTCACAGACTGATGATTAGATCTGATCATTTTTTGTGAGTTTTGTTTTCAGAACACTGATGTCAATGCAGTCTTTTCCTGTTGCTGTAAGGCTTTATGTAACAGTTATCCTGCTGAAGGGTATGCATTGGTATTAACAATGTCATTTTTCCTTATCCTGACTCATGTATTATTGCTTGTCTCCTTCCTCTTGCGAACGTTAGAGGAACACTTGTATCTCCTATTGAAGCTCCCTTCAATAAAAACGGATGTAAAATCACTACTCACCACGAGTTATCTGTCAGCCTGTTTTGGCAAGAAAAGTGGCGCCACTGCTCCCACATGCTTCACTTTCTCCTTCTTCGCCCTAGTGGACGGTTGAGAGCGCCTGTGTCACCTATACGGCACTATATCCTTTTATTAATTAGTTATTACCCTCTATTTTACTTTTATAGAGGTTTAGGAAGTATCCTTCAACAATATGGTTTGAAATTTATTCGTATTTTCACTGTTTATTCACGTTTTTTGTATGTGATTGTTCAGTTGTTTACATTTCATGAAAACCTGCTTTCGTTGTAGGTTTAGGTTGGCTGCTGCAGACCCGCATTGACTGTGCCCTAGCTGCACAACAACATGTACTTCCAGCTATCATTGTAATCTTTATCAGCATTTAACAGAAATTCAATTTAATAAATAAAATTTCTCTGTACTTAGGCGTACTGGTGACAATCCAGGCGACTTTACAAGTCATGGATAAACCGGCTGAGTTCCTCACGAGCTGTCTACTGCTGTCAGATGACATCCAGTGAGCTGCCTTGCGGCCGACATCGTCCCGATGGAAGAGAGATGACTTCATGATGAGCCGCTGCTGATCATCCCAGAGATACAGCACGCAGTCCGAGTAGCGGCAGATGAGCGATCCCTGGATCATATCGCTATCAACGCAGAGAGGGCAGCTCTACAATCATCGCAGACGTTCAACCCAGGGTCTTCATGCAGCAGAGAGTTATCATCTACGCTGGCGGCAGATGAGCGATCCCTGGACCATATCGCTATCAACGCAGATCTTCAACCCAGGGTCTTCATGCAGCAGGGAGTTATCATCTACGCTGGCGGCAGATGAGTGATCCCTGGACCATATCGCTATCAACACAGATCTTCAACCCGAGGTCTTCATGCAGCAGTTCTCTCAGCAGAGATGGAGATGATGGAGAAGCGCTTCCCGAAAAGAAGAGCATCGCATGATGGACAGCCACAGGGCTCACATGCTCAAGTCATCACCCACAGAGACCTGCACGAAAAAACCACACTCTGATGATACATCGGAGAGGCCCTCCAGCAAAGCGACACCCAGACCCAGGAGCAGATCTGCGCAGGACGGCATGCTCATCTTCAGATGACGACTCAGATGAACAGCCATCGTGAATGCCTTCGTCATCAACATCGCAGATCGTCAAGGGTTTCACCGAGGCATTCACGAACCAAGTGATGCTGACCTCCACGCAGGTCTTCACGCTGATCGCCCTACAGACGCAGCTCAACAGGCAGTCTCCACGCAGGTCTCCACGTAGATCCCCAGCAAAGGAGCACTCAACTCTACAGGACGTCAACGACCCTGCGCGAAGGCATTCGCGCAGGCCATTTACAACAGAACGCTACATGCCGTCAACGAGCCTGCACGAAGACGCAGAGACGTCGCAGTACTCTCAACAGAACGCTACATGCCGTCAGCAACCTGCGCGCAGCACGGCGCAATCTTCAGAGACCGTCAACAGATGATGAGCCTAATAAAGGACCTTCACGCCGACTACCTACATCAAGGGCATCAAGAACGCCTCGCAGATCATCACGGGAATCACCACTTGGGAATACATTGCCAGGAAGGCAATCCCGGACTACAAGATGATCACCTACACACAGGGCACCATACAGACGCACTACGCAGACCGCCACGCAGATCTCCAAGGATATTCAACCAGGACACGATTGCGGACTGGACCTAGCGTCACCCTAGAAGGGAAAAATCTTCGCCGGCACATAGACTGAGGGACATGTACTGAAATTCAAGAGGGGTACTCTTGTCCGAATTCATCACCGGCACGGACCTTCAGACTGAATCCAGGACGGGATTCACATAGATTGATATATCTACATCAGAAGACTCATGGCCATATAGAGATCTTCACTTCCATACAGATCTGCAGATATTCACACTGGCGTGGTTCAGCAGCAGCCTTGCTAAGGCTAGGAACTACAAAATCATCAACGACTCACTCGGTAGAATTTACACCAAAGTTCAGCATCAACTCTACAATTACGACGCTTCATTGAGATCGATGTATGCAGTCTACAATAACAGTAATACTGAGGACGTGAAGACTTCAGCTGATTATCTGTATAAAAGGACGACTGCATTATCTTCAGGACTGAAGTAACAGTCACAGCAGCCAGGAAAACAGCCTACCTACATCGGTATTACGCGCGAAATATTTCGCGCGTTTACCATTCAACCCTCGATACACGTGGTCACTCGTGCAACTCCGGAAGGCTATGGACAAGACCGAGTGGTGATAAGATATCAACGGCGGCACTAGATTCTACAAGGACCTTTTTCCTGCTACACCGGTGACGTCACATCGCGGAAACCAAAGGAATCAAAATGCTTTATTTTGATTGGACCATGAGAGACAAAGCCCTGCGCAGAGGTCGGTATAGTTCACATGTCAGGAAATGGGTTACAAGTGACAACAACTTGTCAATATGAGAGGAAGGCCTCTATTACAGTCCAGTTAGACGGGACCTACATGATTTGGCTGCCTTCACGGGTTAGATACCTTCCCTGTCAACATTGAAGACAATTCATCAGATCGAATTGCAGCAACATACGTTGGGCGGACTTTGGATGACGGCAGCCAGACTACTTTATATAGACTTCACAACGATGGCAGTCACAGAGTCAGACATATCTTCATTTCCCCTTACGGACACGGCCAGGGTTTCATGATCATAGGATCTAGATACAAGTCCTTGTATCTCAAGCACTACTCTCTCCGTTATTACTACGAAGTGGCAGAGTCTGTTGGGTCTTCTCACATCAGCACAGGACATGACACGCAGAGGGAGTCTACAACTACGCCCACTACAGGTCTTCGTGAATGTACAACTGGACGATCCGGACCCCTTCGGACTCCCGGACAGACTAAAACCCTCTCTAATATGACTGACTCAGAGATCGACTGGTCGCAGAAGCACCTATTTAGCAGAGCTGGAGTGCAAGACGCATCTCTATGTGGACGCATCTCTCCAAGGTTGGGGAGCAACCTCGCCAACGAAGTGTCAGCTAGGATATGGACCATAGAAGAGAAATATCTGCCCATCAACATGCTGGAAATGAAAGCAGTGATAAATGCCATACTCCACTGGACCAGCATTTTGAAGAATGCTAATCTGACGGTACCTACAGACAACTCCACTGTGGCGTTCTACATAAACAGAAGGATCAACAAGGTCGGCGAACCTTCTGGACCTCTGCTTTCAACTGGCCAGCATAACAGACAACCTGAACATTCACATATGAGCATGCCACATTCCAGGAGCCAAGAATGGGATAGCAGATACACTTTCCCGTCCAACGCAGTCATCCTCAACAGATTGAATGCTACATCCAGAGATCTTCAAGCAGATCATAGAAGAGATGAGAGCACCACTAATAGACCTTTTCGCCACAAGATTCAACAATCAACTGATAACATTCGTCTCACCAATACCAGATCCAGGAGCATGGGCAACGGACGCTCTAAGCATCTCCTGGGAAGGGCTAAATGCTTACTCGTTTCCACCATCAGCTCTAATACCGAGGGTGTTGCAGAAAATCAGTCAGACGAAGGATTTACAACTGATTTTGGTCACGCCTTACTGGCCAGCGAGAATATGGTTCCCCATTCTCATACAAGAACTAGGACTGCCTCAACTGCAACTACCAGAGTGGACGAATCTACTAGTACATCCTCACACAAAGCAGACGCACGGCAACCCAGAGGTGTTCCGGCTACTCGTGTGGACTGTATCCAGGCATGCTTGAACAAGAGAGGATATTCCGCCAGGGCAGCAAAAAGAGTCACACTAGCTCTACGCAAGTCTACACGCAACTTGTACGACGACAAGTGGCGAAGCTTCGAGACATACGCTTCGAGGACCGGCTTCACAGCCATAAAAGCCACACACCCTCAAGTGGCGGACTACCTTTGTCACCTAGACAAACGAAGCGGTTAAAAGGGTCAACACTCTCAACATACCTAGCGGCATTGAGCTCAGTTATCACCATGAGGACGAATGCAACTGACGAAAGTACAAGAGTTACTGGCCTTACCTTTTAAATTGGAGGACCACCGACAGAGATTTAAAGCTCCGGCGTGGGACCTCAACGTAGTGCTACGACATCTCACCAGTGACATCTACGAACCATTAGAGAGGACATCCTTTGAGTTCTTGACGCAGAAGACGCTGTTCCTGATCGCCTTAGCAACAGCAGCAAGGATGTCGGAAATACATGCTCTGGACTTCGAGAGAACACGATTTGATGAAAATCAAAACATCGTGCATATGGGACTGAGATGGGACTTCATAGCAAAGAATCAACTGCCGGGTCATCCAGACAGACAGTGCCACGTCCCAACACTATCATCAGTCCTTGGACCACAGGATACGCAGGACCTATCCTTGTGCCCAGTGAGAGCATTGAAAGTCTACCTACAAAGATCCAGGTCCAGGAGACGGAAATTCAAGCGTCTTTTCGTCCCGATATCGACAGCAACACAGACGGTTGTCTTCCGCACTAAGATATCAATCTGGATCAGAACTGTCATACTACGGGCCTACAAAGCAGCAGAACTTGATCCTCCAAGAGCCTCCAACCCACATGAAGTTAGAGCTCTGGCGTCAACACTCGCTCTACATGGTAATTGCTCTATCAGGACGATAATGGAGGGCTGCTTCTGGAAATGGGACATGGTGTTTACCAACCACTACCTGAGGGACATCGCCACCGAGGACATCTCTGGCATTCACCATTTCTGCCCACTTGTTGTAGCACAACAATTGACAGTCCCACGAAGGCGCTGAGACAGAGTCTCGCCCTTTTATCACAAAACTACACTCAGGAGAGTTCAGCTTTAGAGTCTATATGCACGTCTAGGAGAGACTAGCATAAGTGATATGACCCAGTACTTGTAAGGACATACTCGTACAGGAAAGGGTCGCTTCTCCACTTGATGCTTGCATCAAGAGTTTGAGTTGCAAAATCCAAATAAAATGTTAACAGAAGCCAGGACCAAAAGTTAACAATTGTGGTCCCCCCATCAGAGAAAGCTGGAAGTGAAGGGTTACAGCAGCAGCAGACACAAGCAGTAAACTAGAAGTGCCAACAAGGAGTTCCCATAGGGGGGTATATAAGACATAAATCACTACATGAAATCCAGAAGTAGCTTGACCCACCACCAAATCCGGAGGATTCTACAAGCAATAATACATGAGTCAGGATAAGGAAAAATATGTAATTTTCTGAATAAAATTGATATTTTATACTTATCCTGACTCATGAGGTAAGCCCTCCCAACCTCCCCACTCGACATTTTGGATTTCCCTGCAAATTCTAGTGTCGGGCTCATAAATCGGAGAGAGTGAAGCATGTGGGAGCGGTGGCGCCACTTTTCCCGCCAAAACGGGCTGACAGATAACTCGTGGTGAGTGGTGATTTTACGTCTGTTTTTATTGAAGGGAGCTTCAATAGGAGATACAAGTGTTCCACTAACGTTCGCAAGAGGAAGGAGACAAGCAACAATACATGAGTCAGGATAAGTGTAAAATATCAATTTTATTCAGAAAATTACATTTTTCTATCAAATCTAAAGCTCTGTACCTTGTAGCTCAACAGTTAAATACCTGTGTTCAGACATATATAATTTTATCACTGCTAAGTGGTATTTGCATAGCATGTATGACAGAATGTTCCATGTTCATATATCTTATTTGAAGGTGGTAAAAGGGACACTGATCGAGAGCAATTTGTACATATTTATGTTTTTGTCTTATAATCTTAATTAATTTCTATTTTTAGGCATTTTGGACTGACTGACTGAGTTTGGTTTTACGCCGCTTTTAGCAATATTCCAGCAATATCACGGCGGAGGACACCAGAAATGGGCTTCACTCATTGTACCCATGTGGGGATTCGAACCCGGGTCTTCGGCGTGACGAGCCAATGCTTTAACCACTAGACTACCCCACCGCCCCAGGCATTTTGGAACTCCATAAAAGGTTCACTATATGTTTTTAGTGACTTTATAACATGACTGTAATATTTAGACATTTTATAGATTGCCTACGTGAATCATATTTCACACACATGCCCAAAGTGCAACCTATTTAATGTTTTCTGTTTCATCGAACATCATGCCTAAAAAAATGAAGTGGAATGATTCTGCTGAATGCTTCAACAAATGAAAAAAACAACCAAAATACAAATATCAAAATTAAAACTGACTAAACAATAGGCTTTTACCTTGTGCGAGGAATGTATAGCCTACCTAACAACTATTTGCATGATGACCATCATTCTTTAATAAAAGAATTTAGTTAGACAACAATGGGCAATCAATCAATGTATTGGCTGTTAATATTTGAAGGAAAGACTAGAAATACGGGCAATATTTTCAAATAACGGCATCTGATAGGCATCCACCATTCTTATTGTCCCATTGTTTAGGTTGCAGAAATTCTGTCAAGGGGCGCAGCTGACCAGTCCCCGTAGCCATCATGGTCGATGGAGCAGGGACAGACCACCTGATGTAATTGTTGGCTCAAAACACTATTTGCTCTGGATCAATGCCCTCATAGTCCGTTTGGCTCAAAAGCCTAAATCAAAAACTAATAAACATATAATACCATAATCATAACCAAAACGTCAGACCAACTCTGTGATTTTTTTGCAGAATTTATGACCCCAAAATAAGAAAGTTGTTGAACAAACTATCATTAAAATTTTGACACAGTTCACTATTTGTTACGAGGGAGGACTGCAAAGAGAAGAACAGCCAAGTGTACGCGAAGCACGTGCACAAGTGCCGACAAAGTTATTGATTCATTTACCTGTGCTGTCTCCATCCTTTCTCGCACACCTGGCTGTTCCTCTCTTTGCACCCCTCCCTCGTAACAAATAGTGAACTGTGTCAAAATTTTGATGATAGTTTGTTAAACAACTTTTTAATTTTTAGGACATAAATTCTGAAATTTTTGGTTGGTCTGATGTTTTGATTATGAGCAGTGTTTCATGGAGTAATATATGTTTATTAGTTTTTGAGTTAGATCGCAAATCATCAGTCCGCTTTTGAGCGAAACAGACTATAGTAGTGATTGTATCAGTGTCTGGAGGTACAGGGTCATTTGCATCGGATTCAACATTAATACAAGAGGTAAAGTTGGTTGCTGCATGTCATGCTTTGTTGCATACATGTAAACTGAAAACCAGTAACCTAAACAAGTGCAAAATATTATTTGCATGGTGTTCAGAATCAGTTCTTTCATGCTTGCCTCACTTTTGTACAGATGTTATTTTCAGGTGTTGGTGGGGTAGTGAGTGTATGAGGGTCAGGAGGTACAGGGATACCCAACCAGCAGGCTCTGACACTGAGATGCAGCAACACTGTGACATCTGGGGATGTTGTTACTTATTTCCAGGTGTTGGTGGGGTAGTGAGTGTATCAGGGTCAGGAGGTACGGGGATACCCAACCAGCAGGCTCTGACACTGAGATGCAGCTACACTGTGACACCAGGTGATATTGTTACTTATTTCCAGGTGTTGGGGGAGCAGTGAGTGTATCAGGGTCAGGAGGTACAGGGATACCCAAGCAGCAGACTCTGACACAGAGATGCAGCTACATTGTGACATCTGGTGATATTGTTACTTATTTCCAGGTGTTGAGGGAGCAGTGACTGTATCAGGGTCAGGAGGTACAGGGATACCCAACCAGCAGGCTCTGACACAGAGATGCAGCAACACTGTGACATCTGGGGATGTTGTTACTTATTTCCAGGTGTTGGTGGGGTAGTGAGTGTATCAGGGTCAGGAGGTACGGGGATACCCAACCAGCAGGCTCTGACACTGAGATGCAGCTACACTGTGACACCAGGTGATATTGTTACTTATTTCCAGGTGTTGGGGGAGCAGTGAGTGTATCAGGGTCAGGAGGTACAGGGATACCCAACCAGCAGGCTCTGACACAGAGATGCAGCAACATTGTGACATCTGGTGATATTGTTACTTATTTCCAGGTGTTGAGGGAGCAGTGACAGTCTCAGGGTCAGGAGGTACAGGGATACCCAACCAGCAGGCTCTGACACTGAGATGCAGCTACACTGTGACACCTGGGGATATAGTTATTTTATTCACATGGAGGAGGGTGGAGGGCAGCTCTATAGTGATCATAGTCAGTGGATCGGTGTCTCCTACAGCAGCCACGCTCCTGGACTCCTGGAAGAACAAGGGTGTGTTTGTTGGTGACTACACCTCCTCCCTCGACATCCAGCTGCCTGCCAGTCACGTGACCTCTAGCTATGCCGGGACATACAGGTGTGAAGTGTCTGGACTGGCAGAGTCTGGTTATGCTGATGTCACTGCCTCAGTGTTGAGTAAGTATATGACACACATTATCATGTATGAAGGGTAATGAGTGACCTCCAGCTCTGCCTGGACATACAGGTGTGTCTCTGTGTTCAGTAAGTATGTCGTTTAAACATATTTATTTCCAAAAGAGGAACCGGATTGGTAAACAAGCAGTATGGTGCTTATATGAATACCGCTCCGGAATACAGATATATTATAGATATAATAATCGTACGGAGAAAAACATGATATTAACAAACGATAAAAAATAGCTTTCTGGAAATGTAACAATCATAAACTGTAACATAGCCACTTTTAACGTTAGAACCATTAGTGTCGGAAAATACTTAATAGTAAGTGCAATTTTGTTTTTATATTACAACACAAATCTGCCTGACAGTACAATGAAAGAATGGATCGATTCTAATAATTCAAGAGTACCTTTAGTAGATCCATGAGAGTAGCCGTATAGTATTGATTTGATGTCATATCCTTTAGTATAGAAGTGCATTTTATGTCTTATGTCAGTGTAATTAACGCACGAAAAGAAATAGTGAATTGGATCTTCGTAACAGTAGCCACAAGAACAAGAGGGATTTGAAGATATAAATCGTTGATATTTATGTAATGCTTTAAATCACTGCAACCGAAGTCTGAGGCGAATGGATAATCTGACAGAATCTTGTTCCAAAGCTTAAATTGAAGTAATTTTGACTATTATTATTATTTGACCCATTAATCTGTTTCTTAAAACTACGCAGTAGCCGCTTCTCTATAATCGGTAGACAAACAATTCCACAATCTTACTGTATCTGGGAGAAATGACTTAGCATAACTTGCACTTTTACTATCGATAGTTTGGAGCTTCAAACAGTCTCGAAAAATGTAGCTTGTTGTGTCAGATACCTTAGGAGGGACGAGATCGCTCAGATATTTTGGAGTTAAATTATTAACCATCTTATAGAAAAAACGTTAGTTTTGGATGTATCTTCGAGTACATAGTGGTTGGAAATTTGTCTCATCATAAATTTTGTTGTGACTCGTCGTGCATAAACAGCACCGCAAATAGTTCTAAGTGCATCAAGATTAAGTTTTTCCAGTGTTAGTGCTTGCTGTTTGGTACAATTGTCCCAGATGTGACAACAATAGTCGAAAATAGGTAAGATATATTGTTTGTACATTGTTTGTAAAGTTCTACGTGAGAGACGATATTTAAAACCTCTAAGACAGTTTACCATGGGTGCAACCTTTTTAGCGATACAGTTAACATGGTCAGTCCAGGAACAATCGTGCTGTAAAGTAAGTCCCAAATGTTTATGGCTATTAACGTCATTAATATTACCATCCTTCATTGTTAAGTTTCGTTTTGGGCTGGGCTGCACTTGACGAGAGAATTGTATAGAATCTGTTTTATTAGGATTAAATGTAACTTGCCATTTGTCAGCCCAATCAGAAATTTTACGTAAATCATTATTAAGAGACAGAGCAGTTTCATCAGGATCATTTATTATAGCATAAAGTGATGTGTCATCTGCGAAGAGACGGATATTGCTGTATATTCCTTCAACGATGTCGTTGATATAAACTATAAACAAGACAGAGCCTTGGGGAACTCCGGCTAGGATTGATCTTTGATCAGACGCGTTACCATTAATAACAACTCGCTGAACTCTATTGTCTAGATAACTCTCAAACCATTTCAACAAGTTACCCCCGATACCATAACGTCTTAGCATATGTATAATACCTTTATGCCAGACCTTGTCAAAAGCCTTACTTACGTCACAAAATACAGCCCTAATTTCCTTACCGCTATCTAATGCACCCGCTATAAAGTCATACAGGTACGTTAGTTGATTAACCGTTGAATCGCCTGGCATGAAACCGGATTGTAAGTTTGTAAGCATTTCATTATCCCTAAAATGATTAAATACATGTTTAAAAATGCATTTTTCGAAAATCTTTGCTACACAGCTTGTTAGTGTGACAGGTCGATAGTTAGAGCATTCATTTGTACTACTTTTTTTGTGTATAGGAACAACTGATGCCTCCTTCCAGATATCAGGAAACATTGTATTCTTTAATGATAGATCAAAAACTTCAGATAAGGGAACTGCTAATAGACCGATCCAGTCTGTCAATCAAAACTGGCGCATGCGTCAATTTTGGCCAATCAGCAGGCCGGGCGCGCTGTGTGGATTTGTCAGACTTATTTCCGGGGTCAAACGATGCATCCGAAGCGATGTGCTTCGAATTATGCCATTTACACTCGCTATATTTATTACATATTGCTGCGATTTGATGTGTACCGTAACAAAACCATTATGGTCAAGACAACAAAAATGGAGGCGGATCAAGAAACGCGATAGGCCTGACGATCAGTTAAATGTCTGCACCATCGTTCAGGAAACCTACGTCTGTCTGCTGATGAGAATTTGCACGAATTTCCACACTTTTGCACATGTGCAAAATCATTACCAATTGATGACAACAAAAAGCAGTTTAAGACTTTGCAAGTGTTATAAACACGGACAATTCTTGTAACTACAAAATTGTTTTTGCTTAACGTGTTTAGTCACTACTAGGCATTGAGTTGGTACGTCACAAAGCTCAAAAGAGACAGGCGAGAAAGCCGTGACACAATGTAAACAAATATTCATTTTGGTTAGGGTCAACCGAAATAGCAAAATATGTTACATGAAAGAACAATGTGGCGGATATTGTCCCCTTCACTCTTAGATATTCTTCAATTTGTCACACATTTTAGGATGTTTTAAGTTTCATAAGCACAATCTGAAGGCCTACAGTATCTTGTTAACAGAGCAAAATATTCGAGGAGTAATATTTTTTATTCAAACGGAAATATTGTTAGTGTCAGCAGTTGCCTATCATGCAATATCCAAGTATCAAAATTAGTTCATATGAGTGCCTATAAAACCATGCTTTAAATATTTCAGATTTTTTATAAAGGGTTGCATGGGACTTTGAACTGAATTACCTTCCTCCAGGTTGATCGAATCTGAAAACTATGTGAGAAGAATAGTGACTTTCTGGAGTATTGGACCTGAGTGAAATACAGTGTATATCTTAATTATGAGAACATTATTTGAAGTTTTGTTACCACATAAATTATTCACATATAATGGTACATTTTAGGAGTAATATTACAACTGTAATTTTGATTAATTCACTGGAAATGATATCAAGGTATGTTTTAAGAATCTTGCTTTTTTTAGTAAACGTGGAAGGTTAATAAAATTAATAATAATCTAATCAATAATAAATAATTATTTAATTGATTGACATATCAGATTTTTTAGATTTTAAGGCAGAACTAGCCAAACAAACACCATACATATCATGGCAGGACAATCACTTGGTATTAACTTAGTTTCTTGGCTCCTGCTTTTAGATGGTTTTTTTAAATACTACATTTACTAATAAGATAATTCTGAAAGTGATTGCTAGTATCATAACTCATTAAAGTTATTTCAACATCCAGAAAATTTGAAAAAGCAAAGGCTACGTTTTGGTCAAACCCTGGTCAGGCATTATCTAGTCCTGGAACAGAATAACTTACAAAAATCTCAGGTGACTTTTCAACGGAATAAAGATTGAAACATATATTTAACCCATATTTGATGTAATTCTTCTGATAAATCATAAGTTTTTTAGGAGGTTACTACTATTTGAAGACTGAGACAAAGCTAGTGTTTATTAAGATGGTGGATTTGGACAAATTGTTCAAGGTTTGTTGATGGTTATTTGCAAAATGAGCTTCATATTAAATTGCACACTGGTTTGTAGGAGGTGAACGCTTCAGGACATTTTCATGTCTGTTTTCCTAAACCTTTGTTATGACTTTTGCCAAATTTTGAATCAACTTTACTATAATTTTTATGACACCAGTAAGTATCTCAGAAAAGGAAATAGATCAAAATCAGTGTTATGTCCTCTAGGGATATGGTCTCAGATCTAATAAAACAAAGATTATCATTGTTTAATTAAGAAGCAATAATTGTATTGACAGAAGGCCTTGAACATAGGATATATTCTTTGCACCTTATTTACACTAGTAGTTAGCAGTTATACATCTCTGATGAAAAAACAATAGATCTACATTTGTATTTTGTGTAACATTCTATTTCAATGCTAGTTAATTGTTCAAATAACTGTGGATTCTCTGTTCCAAAATCTTGCATCACATGTTTCCTATTTCTGGAAGATGGGTCAGCTAGTGTACAGGTGCAGACTGTATCTGGGATCTTCTTTGTGTTTTGGTGCTGTGACATACCTGTACATAAACGCTGGCAGTTCATGAAGTCCAGTATTGTGGAAGTTTGTATGTAAATAAGGATTCCACAAGAAAGTACATATAGAAAAATTAAATGGAAATGATGATTAAAAAAATGATTTCCTTATATTCAGTGTCATTTTATCATGGTGTACAGATTTTGAAGAGAGAAACTTTACTGAGAGTTGCTGCAGATCAGCTGTTGAATATTTGTTTCTGGGTATGTCCAGATACGTCCATGGAAACATATTGTTTACAAGCCCAATATTACCTTTTCCAGATTTCCAAATAAGATCAAATAGGTTATGCTGTGATTGATTTGTTTACATTAATTGTACAGACAAATAAGGTGCATGAAGTAGTAGACGGGAAATATTTTCTGCTTTTTATTTACCATTCTCTTAATTCATTAAAAGATAGAAACCCATGTTTTCAGATTATTGAACTAAATTTGAACAACGCAAACGGGTAAGTAAAAGTATTTACACGCAGCAGTGTTGATAATCTATTTATAGATACCGAAACGATCTGCAACATGACCATGTGGTTGTGTTCACGAGTTTTAAAAATTATAAACCCAAACAACAAAATTCAGTTATCCTTTCCCTGCTAATATCTGTGGACGGAGGTGAATTGCCAGATAGATTAATTGATTCGAAGAAATTACGCTTCCTACAGTCTCAGCAGCTAGTCGAGACGCTTGTTCATCGGGCATGTAACTCATTTTCACTCGCCAGTTGTAATCTGCCAGCTAAAATATATTAAAAATCACATACGTATAACTTGCCTCTTTAAATAACATTCACAAACGACGGATACCAAACTATCACAAGCAGAATTCATCAACAACGTTCGCAATCACGTAACGTTTCGCCGGCGGTGACGCCATTGTGATTTGCCAGTGGTTGTCCCCCCTAACGTCAAAAACGAAGTGGGCGGGGCTTATCGGCCGAGACTGGATCGGTCTATTGTCTAGCATTCATTTTCAGAAATTTATTGCCAATACTATCTGGGCCTGTTGCTTTAATATCAACAGATGAGAGAATATCATGGATTTCTTGCGGACTGAGTGTTAAGTCACATAATGGGTTATCTGCCTCTAAACAAATTTCAGGAAAATCCCTATTAGGAGCAGCTACTCTTGCCTGATCTGCAAAGAAATCATTCATAATGTTTGCTATATCAGCACTATCATCATATAGTTTATCGTTATGGATTATCGAAAGAAAAGTATTAATATTGGTGGTGTGTTTACTTTTTATATAATTCTTAACTAAACGCCACCATGTTTTTGTACCATGTTCATTATTTATTTGTTCATCAATGTTATTCATGTATATCTTCTTTGCATTTCTTACCACCGATATAACTTTATTTCTACTCAATCTAAAAAGTGCCCAGTCAGATGATGAGTTACGTCTATTTTTTATGATGGCGATTGCGCTTACGAATCAATTTACATACCTCACTATTCATCCAGGGGCGCCCGGGGCCTTATCATAACGACCTTATTTGGAATATAACTATCGCATAATTTAAGAATTGCACCAGTCAAATCGCTGCGATTCGGGTTAATATTATCAGAGGCAAAGATAGCATGCCAATCAAGAGTATATAAGGCATTTTAATACCGTCAAAATCAGCTAGAGTATAATTATATATTTTTCTCTTTGTAATTAATCGATTTTGCAATCGACTCATTAATGGTGACATATACAGGGCAATGATCGCTACATACAGGATCTAAAACACCCGATTTTAGTACAGCGCTAACACTTGAAACAAAAATAAGATCAATTAATGTACTAGAACTGGGTGTAATCCTTGTAGGTTCAGTTATAAGTTGTGTTAGTCCAAATAGCAGTTATAATTGATTAATTTTATAACTTGCGTCTGCAAGTAAATTAATATTAAAGTCACCAACTACAATTGTGTCCATATTAAGATCAACAGCGTTATTGATAGAACCTTCGATTAAATCCCAGTACGCTCCTGTTTTGTCTGCCCGATAGAACGTTCCTATTAAGTAATTCCGTCTTTTACATCTTACTTTAATCCACATCGCCTCAAGCCCGGCTAAAGTTATATTCTCCATATATTCAAAACTCATTTTACTTTTATCGTACACTGCGACACCCCGGCCCCTGCTCTGTCTATTATTTCTGAGAGGTGAATGGAAACCCGGAATTAAAATATCATTACTACTTATACCATCATGTAACCATGTCTCAGTTAGACATATGATGTCATAGGTTCCGAACTCTGCCTCAAGTATGTCAATTTTATCTTTAAGGCTATGCACATTTAAGTGTATTATGTTTAGTTCATTATTTTTAATTGGACCTGGGTGAGGATGAATATCACCGCAGATCAAGAGACTAAGAGACGCTACCAAGGTGACTCTGGCATTGTATAGGCAAAGAAGTAGTAAAGAATAGGAAATATTTTTAAGCTTGTTGGCAGATTTGTTTTGAATATGACAAACAAAAGAACCCACCACTTGTCTGTACTGTACAGTATCAATCATTGTTGGATAAGTTAATCATAACAGCTTGGGTGGGTTCTTTTGTGAGAAAATAGAACTGATCTAATTTCTGACATACAACTGAAAAGCAGTTTAATTGTGTATTTAAAGCTATTGATTTGTTAAGAGAAAAAGGCAAACATATCTGTTTGCTAATGTGTAGATAACTTGAACAATGTATCTCTCTGACAGAAATCCAAGTAGATAATCCGACTAAGGTAAGAAAATATAAATAAACGAAAAATAAAATCAGGTTACAGGTGGAATCTTTCATCTGTAACAGAAAAAGGAACAGTGGAAAATAGACCAACAAAGAACATCATCTGTTTACTGAACCTGTATGGTGACCCGTCTTAACTCGGCTATGCATGCAGCTCAGGATGCACGAGCCTCTGTTACGTAAGACAAATGTGGAGGACGGATTATACCTGACAAAATATTTTTAGAGAGAGATAGCGGTATGAGATAAGTATGCAAGGGATATCAAACAACTGTTGAAGTAAGTTACTCTTTATGAATTATGACAGCTACGCATAGAAGTAGTATAACTGGATTGAATACAGAATGACAAATTAATCCTTGGAAAGATTCATAACATTTACTCAACATAAGTTGGACTTGTGTTCCACATACTGCCTGCGCATACATACACACTCACATATACATGCGCACACACACACATACACACATATATACATATGCATACACATACATGCACACACACATATGCACACATGCACATAGATACCCACATCTATACATACATACATACGCGCATACATACACACGCGCGCGCACGCATACTCACACACACCTGCGAATATATACATGCATACACAGTAAGTATGTGATATGATGAGTGTTTTAATCTATATTATGTTGATAGTAACAGCTACAAGCATAATAACAAGTTGAATATTTAGTTTAAGATCATTGGCAAGTGGAAACAGATCATAAAATGATGTACAGCTTGACCTTCACCCTCTTTTCCGAAAAAAAACCTCAGGACAATACAATAACATTTTCATTTATCAAATGAATTTATATATGAAAGCTGCAATCATGATTACATTTACAATACTTCGTGGTAACAGCTTTACTGGGAAGAGAGAATGTCTGAAACTAGAAAATGAAAATAGTAGCTACTGGCAAACAAGGATAAGTTGGACCAGCGCAGAGAACGCGTTTAAAAAAAGTAGGTGGTGCACGGCAATGAGCAAACCCATTTGGTTTGTGAAAGGTAGAGCAAATGTAGGCTAGTGTACGTGCAGTGCATGACGATGAAATTGATTTCGCGTGTAACTGCACACGCCTTGCTCATAAGACTCTCACGTGGTCGGTAATATTCGGATATAAAGATATACATTTCGAGAGAATTAAACATGTCAAAGTTAGGTACGCACGGTCAGATAATACATTCTCAGACCCCAGAAGTGGTATACAATGTTATTACGTACATGGAGAAAGAATGTACATCTACGAAACAGGCAGTGTTAAAAGCTAGCAATGCCACCGGTTTATCTCTCTCCACCCATCGCACTACACTTGATTGCAGACAACCTGGGGCCCCTTTGCCCACAATGGCAAGTGCCAGTTGGCGGCACTCATACATGCTAATACGGGTCAATTATCAGGTCAGTGCTCAACTTATCCTTGTTTGCCAGTAGTTTCATGTCATGCCCAAATGAAATCAGTATGCAAATAAGATAACTGGAACATGCCACTTTGTGGCTGTTGCACATCGTGATGCAAATAGCATGGACTGCTTTGATGTTGGAAAAATTGCACTTTTCAGAACTAGGAATGCGCCACAGTGGTATCACTAACATCAGTGTTGTTTCTATTGATGAAGGTATCAACCTGAAAATTATCTGTCAAACATAGTAATTGAAAAATGGACCATGTACTGCTTGACTTTTTGCACGGAACTACATATTCATCATGCCTGAATATTGCATCCAATGGCTAAATAGAAATAGAAATGGTGGGGAAACAAAAATTGATCATGAAACTTAAAATTTGATAAAATTACATGTTTTTTTTGGAAGCATTAAATGTGTTTTTGTGACAGCTACTTGCATTTAATCTCCTTTATAATGGAAAAGTTAAAGATTGATCTAATGCCCCGATATTTATCAGTTTGTTGACTGTGATAAAGAGATATATTTGTGCTGAAAGCAAAGGCCAAATGATATCAAGAAGTTGTCAAACAGTTCCAGGGATAGTAGAATTGCTGCCAAACAACTGTTGTTGCTTATATAAATTTCAACTTGTTGTCAAGTAACTGTCATGCAGTTTTCAAAACTATACATATCAAAAGAAATGATTAACAATTTTTCAACAATTGATAATTTTCAGACCCTCCATCTATATCTGGACTACCATCAACACAGACTGTCACAGAGTTCTCTAACCTCAGGATAGACTGCAGCACCTACACCACACCTGGCAACCCTCCAACAACAAGCTACACATGGACCTATGGTGGTTCTACTGTCAGTACTGGGGCTGTACTTGACAGAAGGAACATCAGCAGGAGTCAGGGAGGAGACTACACCTGTACTGCCAGCAACAGTCAGGGATCAGACTCAGCCTCGGTCAATGTGGATGTACGATGTGAGTAGCCAGTAGTTTTCTTTAGACAAATAGTAACTTTAGACAAGTAGTCTTTCATTTGTCGGATTACAGAAAATATTGTCCTTGTTGACATTCAAACAATGTGTCAAATTATTTAGATTATTATCTGAGGATGTCTAACAGCTCTGCAACAGCACTTGTCTCTGAGTAACACAATATCTGTTTCCAATTAGCTTTCACAGTTTTTATGACTTTGAAGAAGATGTAAACACTATTTCTTCCTACTCCTCTAAAATAAGTCTCCCTCTGAGATTTGTATGCCTGTCAATTTGAATTCACAAACAATTATCAATCACATCTGACTTTTGAGAGCACAAAGATGAAGATAATACCACTAGACACTCCGCATTTGAAGAGAGTTACAGGTCTTGTTAAGGATGGCGCCCACTTCTACAATTGTATGTGCTCTCCCTAAAATGAAAACAACATGAGATATTTCATCTTGCAACTGATAATGTTATGGACTCTAATGGAATGTGTATCATTTCCCGGAGTCCCACTCACATTGTTGTTCCGGTGACAATCCCAATCTACACTCATGTCACCAGATCCATGTGCCTCACCACACTGACCATTACTAAACGAAATCAAACTGGATAAACTCTGGTGTTTTCATTTCTTAGCATGAGTGGTGAGAAGAGCTTCCCCACTTGGTCACATATGTGTTAAGGGCTTTCTCAATTTGAGAACCCTGGAGTTTGAATGGGAATGTAGCTGAATTTAGTTCATGCTAAATATAAGCCGTGTTACAAGGGAAGTAACTCTTTGATACTGTCCATAAATTTATCAAATGCACAATGCCGTTTTAGAAAGTGGTCAAATGTAACATGTTACATGGCATTGTGTATTTCATAGCTTTCGGCCGTGGGAGCAGTGCCAATTAACACTTATCAGAGGGGTACACAAAGTCCGCAGTCTAGACTACCAGTTGTCCGACTTCCATTTTTGTGGAAGCCTCGGTGGCTGAGCGGTCTGGGCATCTGACTTGGTGTGCTGGCAATTAGGTGCCTGACTCTGAGGGAGTGGGTTCGATTCCCGGATGGGACTCAACTACAAATTTCTACAAATTTCAATATTTTTCTTAGATCATCATTGTGGAAGGCAGATATCACCTCTTCTCTGTTTGAGGCAAGCTCATCAAGACAAATCTTGGCATTTGACTGTCGAACATCTTAAATTCTTTTCAGTTCTTTTAACTAGCCTCACAGCTTGTTCACTAACTCAGTGATCTGGGTTGTTATCCTTGTATCTTAGAACTGCAAGAAATGTCTGTGACATAAAAGCAGTCAAACTTTTTCTGAATAGGTTGCCTCTGGAAGCAAACACCACACCAAGAATACTATTTGTTAAGTTCATTCAATGACACACATTCATATCAACAGCTCTAAGTAATTAGTCTATGCAGTTAGTAAAGGATAAAACACGACTCCAAGGTCTTGGTCGAGATTGTAAAACCTGAGAGCAGCAGGGACAGAGCTTGTGAAACCGAGTGCGTCCCTGCTGCTCGAGGGTTTTACAATCCTGACCAAGACCGAGGGGGAGTGTTTTATCTGACTTATGAACCCTCATGAATGTAAAACACAAATATGTATTATTTTCAATTTGTGCATTTGATGGAACAGCCTGCAAATGATGGAACAGCCGGTGTCAGCTGGGATGCGACTGGCAGCCAACACCTTGCCTCGTACGCGCAATGCACGTGCTCTGCATGTGCTACCCGTGTCCTGCACGTGCGCTGCCCGCAGTACCCGTCTTGTGAGGAACACATGGTTCATACTGACAACAATCTCATTCTTCACAGCGATCCTTTGTAGCCTAGTGCATAAAACCATCAAGCTAGAGAGCGAGGAGTTGCGGGTTCGAAACCAGTTATCGCCACTATATATTGGAAGTTTTCAATAATGAGATATATAGCGATCAGTCATAGCAAGACAAAGTTGTATCAATTATAAATATTGGTAATTTCAAAACCTCATATCAGGTTAAATTTCGACCATTTGAAAACCTAGGTTATGAAATGGTTGAAGTTTAACCTGATATGAGGTTTCGAAACGTGTACTTCAAAACCTGGGATTAAAAATGATTGGTGCAACGTCACGTCAGAGCTCTACCCGATTCTTGAAGGAACCTACCTTACTGCAGAGAAAATTGGAGATAGGTTTATAAGCAGAGTTCACTCAGCCTTACCCTTGTCAATCATTTCTTTCATGAATTTCAAGTGTTGTTTTTTTGGGGAATTTTTTTAGAATTCATATCCAATAGCTTGGCATGCCTTAGTGCCTGAAATTATTTGTCTATCAGGATGAAAAGATCAGGGAGGTCTCCCATTACCCTTGATGTACTTGACAAAAAAAGAAGCCTGTCTTCTTCCGACAGACCTGTCCTTTTGGTCATCCTTCATTTTGTCAAAACTGAAGCACTGAAAACACCATCACTATCCTTGAGACACCAACTGGCCACTCAAATGTTCCTCGGCTTTGAAACTGCCGGGATAGAGTTCAAGAATAGAGGAATGTCCACTCATCAAGCCTAACATTATGAACAGTTACCAACAGGCTCAGTTTTACACCTATGCTCCATTAAGTGGGAGAGTTTTATCTTCAGAAAACCAATAGAATATTCTTCCAAGTCATCCGTGGAGTTCACACAATACATTCTTTCCAACCTTTATCCATGTGATATCCAAGTAGATGTCGAAAAAATGTCAAAACTGACATCAGGAACCAAAGTTAGGTCATCAAATTTTATGCATGGTTCAGACATTATACAGGATTTTATACTGGATTGGGGCAATGGAGGTAATACTCTTAGAATTAAAAACATTGACAATTATTATCACATACCTACTTAACCCTTTAACTTTGATCTGCAATCTAACTATTGTAATTTGTAGCAGTAAGATTTCATGAGAACCTGAGAACACACAAAAACAGACATGAAGATGTTCCTTGTTATCTCTGTAAGAGCGTACAATCAACAGTCAGTAATTTGGTGTTGTAAGCTGGTATTCTTATGGCATTTAGTAAAGCTAAAGTGAGTTACCATGATAATTCTTACTTTATATGCCTCATTACCAGATGGCCCCGGCACCAGTGTGACCATCACACCATCAGGGTCACTAGAGAGAGTGGAGGGTTCAGGAGCTTTCACTGCAACCTGCACAGCCATGTGTAACCCCAACTGTACCATAACATGGAGGAAAGACAACCGTGACCGACCTCCAGGACAGATCAGTATTAGCAATGTGTCAAGGATAGACCAGGGAACCTACACCTGTCAGGCACAGAACGGTGTTGGTGCATCCCAGCAGAAGTCTATCACACTGGTTGTATACTGTAAGTAGTTTTCAGGATATATGTACTGTGACAAATAGCAAATGATCACACTGTATGTCTTGATCAAAATCCCTAATGAACTTACTCATGCTGAAAATTGAAATTGTTGACTCAGATGGTCAATATTTGTAATGATAATTACGTCAGACATTCAATTTAAGTGAACTTAATTTGTATTAATTATGCAGATGAGCTATTTATTTCCAGACCTTGACTCTCCTCGTCTGACATTCAGCAAGTCAGAGGTGATGGAGAATGGCACCGTGACTGTGGACTGTGATGTTGACAGCAACCCGACTGTGGAGATGACTGTGACAAATGTTGACAACAACACTGTGCTGGTACAGATGAACACAAACACCCTCAGTCACACCATACAGCGAGCTCAGTGTCTACACAATGGCTCCTTTGTCTGCTCAGCTGATAACAGGAAGACAGGAACTGTTAACCAAACAACCAAGTCCCTTAATGTACTGTGTAAGTAGATACACCATATTATGAGATGTTCTGTAGTTTGTATTTAGTAAGAAGGCTATATACAGTTTTATTATTTTAATGTGAACTTGTTAAAACAATAGGAGGGAGTTTTTACTTAAAGGTCACATGCAACGTTAAACACAACTTTGCAGATTCTGATACCTTTCGGTATGGACTTACCGAAACAAATCATCAAAAAAATGCAAATTCAACTTATAAAGTTGAAAAATAACGCTATGAAAAAACACGCTAAATCAGAGTTCCAACGATTCACTAATTTCCCCCAGTGCTTGGGGGAATAAGTGGTTTCAACAGCAGTGCTGCGCTGTGCTGGGCTGTGCTCATAGCACATGTGCAGTGAAATAGGTTCGCATAGCTTGGAATCGGGTTGTCCGGTGAATACTCGGTGAAGGCTTTCGTGTGAGCTATTTTTCTAATGTTTTGTTGATATTTCACAGGCGCGAGCTTTTTATATATTCTGACAGTAGATTACCGATTTAACTGTTTATATAATTTCATTTGTCTATTTCACCACACGTTCTTCTTACCGAGTCACTTTCTCAGTTCGATACTTAAAAGCAATGTCATTATTTAGCGTTGACAGAATTTCTAACTGTGATGTAGATATGTTGTTGACACAGACAGAACTCAATGTCTGTTTTATTGACACCTATGTGTCTGCCTGCCTGTCTGCTAATGACAATATTCAATACACAACTTCGATCACTGACCACATGCAATTTGAACTTAACACCTATTAGGCTATACACCATAAACAAAACGCATTGAGTTCGGGCCCTGTCTCTGTCACATTATGTAATTACACAGACAGGCAGGTGTGATACATGTACACATGACATGTTACGATGTCTATTGATTGCAAAATGTTATACACAAAAAATGAGCATGTATTTACAAAACCCAACATCTCTATATATACACACACAATAAGCCGTAAGGGCATCGACAAATGAACCAGCCGCTACACTTGAGTGCACACCCACCCGCTCTGACTGGGTTCAGTATCCCGGCTGCTTCGTTCGGTTTCCCGGCTGAGTGAACAATTTTATTCACAACCACACCTTGTAAATGTTATTCTGAAAATGAGTGATTGTACGCTTGAAACTACAATTGCACAAATGTTGTGGCTGGGAGTTTTGGTGTTCATCGCAACCTCATTTAGTCACTCATAAGTCAGTACTGACAGATTAGCAACATGTGAGTTCAAGCACCTTCCGTACCTTCATGAGTAACCTCACATGACAAGATAAGCATTTTCATCTGGTTGATTTTCATCACTTGTCAAATGGGTTTATGACTGCAATCAATGTAAGGATTGTGAGGAATCGATTAGGGCACATAAGAACAAGCACGTTTCGCTGCCCTGAATACCTTTTATGGTCTGTTGCAAAGTTTTGTGTGCTTTAATTTATATAGTGTCCCTTTGATAATCAGTATTATTCTGCTAGTGGTGGCGAGTAGTCCTGTGCATAGAGCTCAGGTCACAAATCTGTTGAAGTTAATGAATGTTGGGCGCGGAGAGTGCTTGGATGGGTGACAGTGTTTGGCAGCTTGACTCCTGATACTTCAGTCCTGCCCCATGAAGTAACGAGGTGGTCTCACCTTAGGCAAGGGAGTTTGTTCAAAATTGCCTCTGTTCACCCAGCAGAAAATGGATACCTAGTGGGATGTCATGTGACTATAACCTTCTAGCGTCTAAAAGGCAGCTTGGGTTATCCGGGTTTATAATGTGCTGTGCAAGCGCTTGGAGCAGACACTTAGTGCCTGGAGGATTTAGCGCTTTATAGATACACACATTATTATTATGTGCACAAAGTGCACATGAACAATCCATCTTCTTCAATATTTAGGAATTTTTTTTCTCAAGTCACAACCTTGACAGGCATATTTGCCAGGTTTTTGAGATAATGTTGGGGGACGTTGTGGCCGAGTTATCTAAGGTGCCAGGCTAGTGATCCAGCGAAATTGAGGTGTGGGGATCGAGCCCACCTGTGACCGGGTGTAAAAACCTTGGAGACAACTTTGTGTGCAGACTCCTCAGTGTTGTCACAACCCCTAGTGTACAGTACACAACCCTGTGCACTTAAAAGTTGGTATATGACCAGATGGTGGCCACATGAATACGTACAAACACCTAGTTGCGGGTACAGCAATGTGCAGTAAACTTGGACACAGTACTGTGACTATGTGTCCCAGTCCATCCAGCTGTGAATGGGTACCTCGTAAGGATTGGAAAGACACAATTTATAAGTGCGCCTAGTGGCTGCAAGAGTTGAATGATCCCCAGGGAGTTGATATTGATGATACAATGTGCTGTTGAGATTTACTTCCAGTGATCGATGGAAAAAATACCAGCACCTTGAGCATGTACTAGTTACGTGGATATGTGCGCTATATAAATATCCTATAAAAATAGTATTGCATAGTTCAAAGTTTATTGTCTCTTTCAACGACTGCAAATTCATTGGAAACTGATCCTGTGAGTCATTGTGTCAATTGTTGGAGGCATTAACATGGTTCATTCGCATGAAGGCTATTTTTTTAGCGTGTATAAACACTGAGTGAATTTTGTTTTCACCTTCCCAATTAACATAAACAATGGGCGAGCGAATGTTATCATGGCATTTAAAGTTTCTTATAAATGAGTCTGTTTCAAAGTTTACCATCACTATCATCATGGCGAATGCACAACTCAAGTGATTTCTGTGTTGGAAAATATATGTATCATATTAGTAAGCGAAAAGCAATTGATGTTGATTATTGGAGGTGCACCTCGAAGGACAGCAAGGGAACATTGATAATTTCACCACTGCAATTTCGACTAGGTAAGTCGGTAATCCCTCAAACTAACATTACTAAAACAACACCAACATCAAAGACTACCGCCAATCGCCTTAACGCGAATACCTGTAGACATCATCATGAAAAACGTGTCATGATGTGGTGAGAAGTTCCAGAAGTGTCTAGGGTGGATTCATCCAGTGTACACTCTGATCCTTTGCCTCCCACAGATGGACCGGCATTGTCATGTGCAGAATAATCAGGTGTTGCAGATTCACGTCTTGACAGTGCACCTGCCATACCACCATGACCATCCTACCACCTTGACAGTGCACCTGCCATACCACCATGACCATCCTACCACCTTGACAGTGCACCTGCCATACCACCATGACCATCCTACCACCTTGACAGTGCACCTACCATACCACCATGACCATCCTACCACCTTGACAGTGCACCTGCCATACCACCATGACCATCCTACCACCTTGACAGTGCACCTGCCATACCACCATGACCATCCTACCAACTTGACAGTGCACCTACCATACCACCATGACCATCCTACCACCTTGACAGTGCACCTGCCATACCACCATGACCATCCTACCACCTTGACAGTGCACCTGCCATACCACCATGACCATCCTACCACCTTGACAGTGCACCTGCCATACCACCATGATGGATTCCTGCTCATATCATAACACTGTCACCACCACAACAAAGACATGTCTCACACAGTTTTGAGCATAACATTCCCCTTGACATACATAGACATGTGTGTGTCCATCAGTCCATGACAGGAGAAAACAAGATCCTCCAACTGATGTGTGTCCATCTCACCCACTGCTGACATCACTGCAGATTGACATGGGGTTAGAATGTTATGTCACACAGGTCTTCTAGCAGAAAGGTGTGGTGGGGTAGCCTAGTGGTTAAGGTGCCCGCTTGCTTGTCACACCAAAGACCCAGGTTTGATTCTCCACATAGGCAAAATGTGTGAAGCCTATTTCTGGTGTCCTTGCTGTGATATTTCTGGAGTGGCGAAAAACTGAACTCACTCATTCACTCCAGCAAAAATTCCTGCCTTAACTGATTACAAACTGACCGGTCAATAAGTTTGTGGAATTCCAGGGATTTGTGTTGCTGTGGTTCAGTTTCGGAGATGACACATCCAGATGTATGGATCTTTAGGTGACGATGGTTACCCTGGGACAAGCTGATCAAAATGACTGTACATATTAGGATCGTTTAAAAGTACATTTTGAATCTCGAATAGGCACGGGGATTCTCTATGTTCAGTAGGTAATGAATTCCATAATTTAACAGTATCTGGAAGAAAGGACCTCGAATAATTTACAGATTTACAGTTTATAGTCTGAAGATTTGAATCACCGTGCAGATTATGGCCAACAATATCTGATACTCTAGGCGGAACAAGGTTACTAAGGTAACTTGGCGTAGTGTAATTAACCATTTTGTAAAACATGGTCATTTTATGAAGGTACCTTCTACGACACAATGGGTGACAATTAGTTTCTTTGTAGATTTTATGATGGCTGGTACCACGAACAGCACCACTCGGTTCTTAGAGCATCAAGATTGAGCTTTTCAAGTATATCTGCTTGTTGTTTAGTACAATTATCCCATATATGACTGCAATAATCAAACACTGGTAATATGAACTGGTTTCTAATGTTTTTCGGTTTAAAAGGTTATTTGAGACTTCTTAGACAATTCACCATTGGTGCAACTTTTTTAGCACAGTCGTTAATGTGTTCATTCCATGAGCAGTCATGCTGAAGTATAAGACCTAAATGTTTATGACTTTGTACGGAATTAATGGCATTACCATTCATGGTTAAGTTCGGCATTGGAGTTGGTTACAATTTACGAGTAAAACATATTGACTCTGACTTATTGGGATTCAAAGATACTTGCCATTTTTCTGCCCATTCGGCAATTTGCTGTAAATCATTGTTCATTACAATAGCAGTTACCCCAGGATCATCAATGATCGCATATAAAAGAAGTATCATCTGCAAAAAGGCGTATATTAGTATTTATTCCTTCAACTAAATCATTTATATAAACAATAAATTAGAGCGGCCCCAATACTGAACCCTGGGATACTCCAGCAAATACCGCTTTATTATCAGATCTAAATCCATTAATGACGACACGTTGTTCTCTATTTTCAAGATAACTCTCAAACCATTTTAACAAATTACCCTTTATACCATATCTTCTTAATTAATAAATGATACCCTTGTGCCAAACCCTGTCGAATGCTTTGCTTACATCACAAACTACTGCTCTTATTTCTTTTCCTTTATCTACTGCACCGGCAATGAAGTCATATAAATATGCTAGTTGATTAACAGTAGGAACGCCTGGTTTAAATCCTGATTGGAGATTATAAACTATGTCGTTATCTCTGAAATAATTGAAGACGTGTTTGAAAACGCACTTTTCAAAACTTTTAGCCAGACAACTTGTGAGTGCAACGGGTCTATAATTGGAACAGTCATTTATACTACAGTGTACCTTTTTTATGAATGGGGACGACAGAGGCTTCCTTCCAAACTTGAGGAAAGGTATTTTCAGAAAGGGATTGGTTAAAGACATCTGATAGAGGGTCAGCCAGCAATCGAGCGTTCATTTTCAGAAACGTATTGCTAATTCCATCTGGGCCTATTGCTTTTGTAGTATCTACAGAAGAAAGAATATCATAAACTTTGTTTTGGTTCAGATAAACGTCACATAAAGAATTAGCAGTGTATGAAACAACCTCTTCAATATTCCTGTCTGGATAACTAACTTTTGTTTGATTTGTGAAATGTTCATTCATTACATTTTCAATTTCAGTGCTATCATCATAAAGTTGATCATTAATTAATACTGGAGGAAAGGAGCTTGGTGAATTTTTGCCTTTCGTATAATCTTTAATCAGACGCCACCAGACTTTGGTTCCATGCTTGTCATTAATTAATTTTTATCTGTGTATAATTGTTTAGCCGTTCTGACGGATGATGTCGCTTTATTTCTGTATAGTCTGAATTTTGTCCAATCCGAAGGTAAGTTGCGCCGTTTAGCAATCTTGTGTAAGCGATTACGTTTTTGGATCAAACTCCGAGTTTCATTGTTCATCCATGGCACATCTTTTGGCCTGATAGTGACAATTTTGTTTGGCACGTGTTTGTTACATAGATTAATTATGGTATTGTTTACTTGATCTGCTACTTGATTTATGTCACGAGAGAAAGTATTGTATTCCAATCAAGAGAACTAAGTTCATCAGTAAGGGCTTCGATGTCGGTTGAAGTATAATCATAGATTTTTCTTTTATAAGTAACTGTTTTAGTTATTTTTTCCTTCAAAGTAACACACAGGACAGTGATCTCTACATATATGATCAAGTACACCGGATTCCAGTACAGTAGCAACATGTGAAACAAAGATAAGATCAATCAAAGTACTAGAGGTAGCGGTAATCCTTGTAGGATTGGTTAGGATTTGAGATAACCCATTTATCGATTTGATTTGATCAACTCTGCTAGAATTTGTGGTAAGAATATTTTCATTAAAATCACCAGTCACAATTGTAATCAAGTCAAGATCAACAGCGTTACCAACAGATTCTTCTATTAAATTCCAGTAGGCGTCGCGTTTATCTGCCCTATAAAATGTCCCAATGAGGTAATTTTGTTTCTTGCATCTTATTTTAACCCATATTGCTTCTAGCGCAGGCAAGTCTAAATCATTCATACATTCGAAAGACAAATAGTTTTTAATATATACTGCTACACCTCACCCCTACTCTGTCTATCTTTTCTTAATGGGAAATGGAAACCTGGAATTTTTATGTCATTGCTGTCTATACCGTGGTGCAGCCATGATTCTGTAATACAAATGACATCGTATGATTACAGTTCAGCCTGGAGTATATCTAGCTTATCTCTAAGACTCTGTACGTTTAAATGTATTATCTTAATATCAGTGTTTCGCAATGGTCCGGGATTTGGGTGAACATCACCAAAGATCAAAAGAAGAAAAATGATAATCAGAGAAAATTGTTTGGTATAAAGACATAATATCGAGAAATGATAACACTGTTTTTTAAATTTACAGGCAGAATTGCTATGAATATGAGAAACAAATGAGCCCACCGCTTGTCTATACTGCATAATATCAATCATTTCCAAAAACGGAAATACAAGTGTTATGATGGGTGGGCTCATATAAAGATATACAGTAACGAATTAAACCAAGCGTTGTGTATATAAAATACACGTATGACGTCAAGTTATTTGGCATTAGGTAAAATGTTGATACACATAATACAAAACATTTTAACTTCTGAAAAACAATGTGGTTCCTTGTGTTAAGAAACAAGTTATGACAATAGTTGTCAACGATGTAATAAACTAAAAGCAAAAAAATAAGGGTACCACAGAATGGATGAAAACTTTTCATCTGCGGTAAAAAAGGAAAAAAATCATGGTGGACAATGTGTTACTTTGACATAACTGGGACGCAGGGCAATCTGACCTACGTGTCAAAAATATAACGCACGTGCTGCAGTGTCTGAATAACGCACGTGCTGCACGAGCATCTATCGCGTGATGGCATGTTGTGGAGAGTGGAGGGCAAAGCGGGATGGTTGTTGATTGGAAAATGTAAACTTTCTTAATGGATTATTTATACAGTTAGTTACATATAGTTACAGTTGGAATATTTGAAACGTGAGTGTAATTTTGATATACTTAAGACTTTTAAACCATGGTTTGAAAAACAGGTTAAATATATCAAGTACAGTTTTGCAACTTGATGATAAGGGTGATCAATCCACCAGAACACATATTGTTATTCCATAGTATGTATATTTGTTTTCTCACTACATATTTCACTGTCATAAAAAAATAAACTCATGGTGGGCTTTGTGACTAAATTATAACATGACATCAAATTTGCATTCCTGTGGCATGGTCATAACTTTCAGGCTCCCCACGTGATGACTTCAGGAAACAGCTGAACAGTGTGGTGGTCCAGGACAAGTACACCACTGCCTACCTCACTGCAGACATCATAGCCAACCCCCCTGCCTAACTTCACCTGGTACAGACATGATGGAGGGAGTGTATCACCCATCAGAAACTCAACTGGGATCACAGTCATCAGTACAGGCCTACAGTCAGTGTTGCAGATCTACATCACCTCAGATGACGACTATGGAGAATATGGTGTTGATGTTCAAAACAGTGTTGGACAGAAGCGGATGGTGTTTACACTGACATCTAAAAGTGAGTGGGATATAGGAACTGTGTATTTTGGGGAAAAAGGTGCAATTGATAAAACATTACTAACTTTAAAGATAAATCAAATGGGAGGTATCCTCCCAAAACTTCCACAGCTTATAACAAATTTTCTGGTTGACTTCACACGCTTTGGCATACTGATTACCTCTGTCTGTAATGGTTTAGCCCATTAATCAGTAATGAATACAAACAATCGCTTAGTAATAGATTGTATATTTTATTAAGGCATGGTTATTAACAAAAATACAGTCTATGTAGCACTCATTCTCAGATAAATGTCAAATTTAACAATATCGCTGTCCTGTTGATAGAGTGTCATTAATACTTTACTTTGAAATGTCCATTTGTTTAATATGATGTCCCTTCAATCGAGGAAGAAAATAAAAACACAATTTTAAATTACTCTTACCAGATTTTATAAAAACACAAAGGGAATATCAAAGAGCAACTTGTTCAAAACTGTGTACCTCTGCAGGGTGTATTGTGTGACAGAAGAATAAAATATTATTATCTAGCAACAGTCTAAACTTTTGAATTTCTATGTTTACATTACAATCGTGTACCATCATATTGTCCCAACTTTTACCATCAGATACGTTACAGATTTTCATGTGGTTCAGACAACATTTGACTTCTATCAACAGTGGTTGAAATAATAGCTTGTACGAAATCTCTACTCTGCTAAGTCTCTACTACTCTTCTGTTCCCTGTTTAGGGCATCAAAAGAAAGTGCACTTCCTCCAAAGTTCCAGGACTATTCAATTACACCTATAAAGGACATTACAAGAAAAACAGTCAGGTGATCAGGATAATTATCTGTTGTTTCGGTTCAGTGCACCTCCTGGGCTATCCTATTACCTAAAAAGGGGAGATGAGAAGTTGTTGTTTTAACAGTGTGTGGTAGTATTGGGATGTGGATGTTTTGGGGGTTAGGGATCAGGATGTCGACCATTGGTCAAATCATCACGGATGAGTGAAGAAAAAAGGTCGAAGTTTGGCATAGATAGATAGATAGATAGATAGAATATATTAAATATTCATGTTTGTTCATCTCTTGTCCGTATTGCTGTTAACAATTCTTACACATTTAGTTTTCAAGAAATATTGTGGCACATAACAACGCAGTTAACAGATTTTTAAAAATGTTTATTCAAACACATACTACTAAAAAAATGGAAAAAGAAGTAGCCAGTAATTTTCCATCTAATGTTTCAAAAATGAATCATAAGTGTGTGTCTAATCAGTATGTCTATGAATAGGACTGCACGGTATTACTGGTATATCGCAATACGCTTTCCAAACAATTGCAATATTTTTTATGAGAATTCTTATATTGGGTTAAGAACATAGATATTCTTTATTTCCTCCATAGCATATGAAGATAAATACAAGGTTCACAGGTACATTACAACAAGTAAATCAATATGGTATTACATGGATATACACATATGGTATTATGTGTATGGTATTTACACATGTCAGAAATTATACACATTCATAGAAATATCGTTTCCACAACTTAATAGTTCTGCATATTCGGCTTATGCACATTGCCCATGTTTCATAGTCGAGGTCCTTCGTGCACTGAGTAGGGCGACCCCCAAGTAGAAAACAGAGTAATATATCGTCATCATTATTCCAAAGGTTACTAAACGTTTCTACATCAAGAATGTTGATTAAATCTTCAGTTAGTCTGTCTCTTTCATACTGCGTTTCATTACAAAAAAGAAATACATGTTTAACAATGTCATAGGCAAACGTACCACAAAGACATTCATGAGATTGAATTACATAAATACCGATGTGTAATAGTACAGTGATATCAAAGAAGCACAGATGTTTTTCTAAGGCAAGACACCACAACCTGCTCGGACAGTTTTCATAAGTAAGGTTATACCGTGCTAGCACTGCTCTTGAAGAGGTTCTGAAATAATACATTTGGTGTCTGCTTCATGAATAGCTGTTTTAACCTGATGTGCCCATAGTTGTTTACTGGGAAATACAGAAGTTTCCAGGTACATATTTAAGTCATATATTCTATATTTTCTAACCAAAGCCAACATATGAAAGATGGGTGAGGTCTTACATTTTAGACATAATGAAGGAGCGTCATCGCACATGAACTGTGTAAATCTATAACAAAACATTTTCTTAAAAATAAAACTGATATCAGCACGTATTAATCTCCTGAGGAATATGAGGGTTTGCTGCTCTATGTATGGTTGCATAGAAATGAGTCCCAAACAGCTTCTGGCAATAACTGAGCTGGATCGTTTGTATAGACCTTGAACCTTTTTGCAGAAATATTTTTGTACTAATTCCAGCATATCATATTCTTTTGGAGATAACTCACACCAAACATTACAACCATACAAAGCACATGGTAGAATTACATTTTGCCAAATGCGTACAGCATGTAAGGGATTAAGACCACCAAAGTACAAGCCATGATTATGATTAACATTTACAATGAGTCGCAGTTTTTTACATACCTGGAGAGTGCGAGCAGAGGATGATCTTGATGTACAGACGTTCACACCGGCATAAACAACACTTGTTTTCACAGGGATGTTGTTTCTGCCAATGTAGATGTCTGGAAAAGCACCGTTGCAAATGCTGTTAAAAACAATAATTGCACTTTTGCATGCATTGAACTTGAGATGCCATCTGTTTGCATAATCATATAGAATATTCAAGAGAGACTGAGTCCCTTTAGTAGTACAGCTAAGCAGTGTGGTGTCATCAGCTAGAAGAATACCTGGTATATTACCCCAAGGGAGACAGAGTCCATAGTTTGAGTGATTGAGTTCATGCAACAAATCATTAATGTAAAGCGTAAACATCCAGGCTGATAAAACACGACCCTGGCCAACACCCTATACACATAATATAGAGAAGACGCCATAGTTTTCCGGTTATTCCAAAATGATGTAGTTTATAAACCAATCCATTAAGCCAAACTCTATCAAAAGCCTTTTCGTTGTCCATAAACGTACAATTCACTGTAGAGTCTCTTTCCGTATAGTAAGAGATACTTTCACGTAACACAAGCGCAGCAATCTCTGCACCAGCTCCCCTTTTTAAATCCAAATTGAAAGGGGTGTGGAAAGCCTTTGTATTCATTTGCCCACTTTTCAATTCTACACAGCAGAAGCCTTTCAAATAATTTACCAATGACAGAAGTAAGCGTAATCCCTCTATAATTAGAGGGATTATCCTTACTTTTACCATGGCCTTTATGTACTGGTAAAATGCTACCAATATTAAACATCTGAGGAACATATTCATGTAAAACAATAGCGTTATACAACGTAAGGATATGAGGAAATAGCGATCTTCCCTCACGTTTAACATGTTCATTAAAGATGCCATCTGGTCCAGGAGATTTACGACATTTTAAACGTTTAATAGATACAGATAGGTCATCATTGTTGAAGGGGCACAGTAATAGTGGATTCACATCTTTGTGAAAATAACGATGGTCTTCTGGGGATGACAAGATATCACCAACAAAATTATTTACATGCTCAGTAAAAGATACATCAAATGATTCATCATGATATGGTTGCGATAGGTCGTTAAAGTACTGACCAAACAGATTACAGAGAGATTATCATGTTTCCAGTGTTATGTAGCAGGAGTCACCAAGTACTGTGATCTTTACTGCGTTTGTTAAACAGATTACAACTTCAGAGCTTCATATATATCTTGGATTATCATGTTTGCTTTTTTTGGAGTGGCGAGTTGTTAAATGCGGCAGCTTGTTTATTGTCACTATTACGAAGACCCATTTTGCTGTTGGGATTTGAAATTTCATGCTGAAGGTTTTAAATGCGATTGGAATTTTGCTGTGGGGATCGAAATTTCAGCTGATTTGAAGTGATTTGACTATGTAATCAAGATTATAATCGATGTATGCTTTAGGGAGGAGAAATCATGTACATTGAATGAGGCGTTTCTGAAATAGTTCTCAGTCTCATATCTATATAACATAAAGTCAACGTCACTGGCTTTCCTCCAGTTAACACGAAGCGTTACCATAGGACCGGAGACGAGTGTCTGGAGCTAAGTTTACCTGTATGGGATAGTGATCAGATATACTGTAAAGCTGGCGGTTATCTATGGCGTAAACCAATGACATTACATCTATGCTCTGTGTTGACAAAACATTAATCAATCATAGTTTGGATATCCCTACATTTGCTTGTATAAGTATATAATGTAGGATCATCAAATGGAATGACAGATGTCAAATTCCGTGTCATGCAAGTATCTGTCTCGAAGTTGAGCATTCTCGATCTAGATTTCATGTAAAACAACAGCAGTTTGTACATAAGCCAAAGTCAGTCAATGAGAAGATCTGTGATCCAATTAACAAGCTGCGCTCACACCTTTCCGCCATTGGCGGATTAGTTCAAAAGTCAAATCACTGTCTGTGCTAATCAGACAACCCCTATTAGTGACATTCTCTTAGGGAGGGAGGAATTTGTGGATCATATATGAATGTCTGTCAATATGCCTCAAGAGATTCGACTCATCGGGGGTATTCATTTCTTCACTGTATACTGTCATATGCCTCAAAGTCCAAGACATTTGTAGATGGAAGGCGTGCACCTATGATGTGGATCGGAGTCTTATCCGTGAGTTAGCTGCACACCAATCACATGATCACTCCCCATTTCGGACTAGAAAGTAACTATCGCGACTCCTCCTGCTCCTCTGACACTTAACATGACACTTAACATAACATACATCAAAGTCTGTATGTAGATCTGTAAGGAGGGATAGCCGATCCGTGTGTAGCCAATGTTCACTGATAAACATCACATCTGTGCAGTCTAGTTTGGTGTTGATTTCGTCTCGACACGTGGCGGCACCCCTAACGTTCCAAGTGATAATACGGGGAGAGCGTTATTGCTTATGTTCATAACGTTCATCATGGTCATTATTGTCTGTTATCACCGTACCATTGTTGCTTTGGCACC